TTTTCGCAGTTTTGGAGCAGGATATCTTAACATCTCAGAGGATGGGCGGGAAGATGTTCATTGTAGGGGAATATCGTGGCAGCTTCTAAAATGTTACTCCAGGGGCTCTGGTTTGCATGTGCTTATAAATTAAGTCTTTATTTTTAACAGTGATATCCCAAAAGCTCCTAAACCTGAACCTCCTGTACCAGAGACTAAGGAAACTTCACCAGAACGTAATTCAAAGAAGGAGAGAGAAAAGGAAAAGGAGAAGACTCGTCAAAGATCCCCAACTCGGTCCAAGTCAAGGTCAAGATCTCGATCACGTTCTCCATCTCATTCTCGACCAAGAAGGCGTCATAGATCACGGTCAAGGTAGGACTTCAATTTGTCTTGATCGTGAAGGTTGGGAACAGAATGTTTTCTTCTGAAGGCGCCACTTAATGGAATGTTCTCAGTTAAAGTATTGATGTTTCTAGAGGTGTCGAGCTATGGATGTTTTAGGCTAAAGGAGAAAGATGCATTCAGTGGATAAACGTGTTCAGGAGCTGTTTTTTTCAGATCAGTTGGTGAGAAGATGCTCACGGTGACTAACACTGACCAGAGAAGAGACGGGGTACTTAATGCTCTTAAGTTGTTAGATAGTGGGAATTGTGTAGCCTTCTTTTAGGAGATAGGTTTGATGCTGAAGATGTACTAAATTTTTTTTTTACCCTTTTTTTTTTTGATTATTGTACTACTTAGTATAGAGGTGTAGGTGAACTTTAAAGCACTGATTGTGTCTGACACTTTGCATCATCATCTAAATACTACATTAATGTGATGCACTTGGAGAAAAGCAACTTTTTTACGCTCAGTGCCCTGAGGAGAAATTTCCTCAAATCCGAAAATTAGATAGCTGCTTTTCATTTGAATTTTTGATTATGACAGGTCTTACTCCCCTAGAAGGCGACCAAGCCCGAGACGACGGCCATCTCCCAGGAGAAGGAGCCCTCCAAGGCGAATGCCTCCCCCCCCCAGACACAGAAGAAGCAGATCCCCTGTGAGGCGGTAAGATTCCCTTTTCTGAGACAACTGAAAATGTGAAAATTTAAAAGTTGAAAGGAACATTAGTTGTGAGGAATGAGTGTTACCAGAATTAGCATGTTCATCTTATCTTAGTACTGTCAGGTGTATGATTTGAGTGATAGAAAACTGCGGTGTCCTATTTCATAAGTGTGTTGTGGGGGAACATAATAGTAGCTGTGAAACGATTTCTTTGGAGTTGAAATAGTGATGAGAATGCCACCTTTTTGAAAAGTGGCAATTTCAGAACTGTAACTTCTTCAAATGGCTCTGGAGAGTTCCCAGCATAGATTGACATGACATCTGGTATGACAATTTGCTTAAGTCTTAATACTTTTTTTTTTTTCCTGCCTGGGGAAAAAAATTGGAACAAGTAACTGGATTTTACTTGTTGGGAGTTTTTTAATTATGACATTCCTATCACGTAAAATGAAATGAAAATCAAAATTGAATTTTGACTTGAAATGTGTTTCTTCATGTTCTTTTACTTTAAAAAAATCTTCAAGGTCTGATCTCTGTTGTTCAAGGTTACATTTTTCACAGCTTAAGCAATTGTTCTAGTAGCAAAGCCCTGAGTTGCCTTGCAAAGAAAGTTACAGACTGTCAAAATAGACGTTTGTCTTCACAGGAAGAGAGTAAATTTCTATCCTCTTCATAGGAAGAGAATGAAAAGTGATGCTTCCTGTGTACAGCAGTTGTTCTTTTTTTAGGAAGGAACAGTTCTTCCTTTCTATGACAAGGTGATGACTATTCTTTTTTTTTTTTTTTTCCTGAGTTTGTAAATATGTTCATTTCACACAGTTACTGGGAAAACTGTGAAAAGTATCAAACCAGTATGTTGCAAGATGTACAAGAGCTCCCTTTCAGCAAATGTTTATCTCACTCAAGGTAGGGTTTCTTTTTTCCAGGTTCTCAGGAATTCTGCAGCCAAAGGTGGATTCTGCAGGTACACAATTGCAACAGAACTTGCCACAAATTTTGCCGCAGAATTCTAGAGGCCCTACCTTTTTAAAATTACAAAGTAAAGATGAAAGACTAAAACATGAGAATGGATAGATTGATTCTGAACTGTTAAGTTGTTAAGTTGTCTGAAATTTTTACCTCCTGGTATAAAAACTTTTTAGTGTACTCGCACACTAAACTCTTAGACAGATCTGTTCTGAAGGTCATTAAATCACATGTGCTAACATGGAGAATTCTCTTAACCATCCAAAAGTTAGAGACCCCAAACAAAACTAATTGCTCCCAGGAGAAAAGCTTAGTTGTAGTCTGTAGATTGACAGAAAGCAAGCAGAGGTAACACTAACAATTTTTTGCTCACTATGTAGTTTAAAAGTAACTGAAAGATTGGTTGTTATTTTCTTCTTCTACAAACCAAGTGTTGAAGGCTGTCCACCATGTTTTGGAAGTGCTGTTGTATGTGGCTCTATATATGTGCTTGCAAACAAATGCCATTCTGTGTTCATGCTCAAACATTTCTGAAACTGACTAGTCAGAATCTAATGTCGTCTTTGATTTACAGGAGAAGACGGTCATCAGCATCCTTATCTGGCAGTAGCTCTTCCTCCTCCTCCTCACGTTCCCGGTCACCACCAAAGAAACCACCTAAAAGAACTGTATCCAGTCCTCCTCGTAAAACACGTAGGCTCTCTCCTTCTGCCAGCCCTCCTAGGCGGAGGCACAGACCATCCCCACCAGCAAGTCCACCACCAAAACCACGCAGGTCTCCAACACCCCAGCAGTCGAACCGTGCAAGGAAGAGCCGTGGCTCTGTTTCTCCTAGCAGAACATCAGGTAATAAAATAAAAACGTCTATTCCAGCAGCTTTATCATTTTGTGCTTTTGTTTTCTCAAAGATGGTGTGTACAGTTTGTACGAGCGGAAAAGCATGCCAGAATGCCATGAATTCCAACTGAGCATATTATGTCACTTTGTCTTTTAGCACCCAAACATAAGAGTACTGAAAAAAGAGAATCTCCTTCGCCAGCCCCAAAACCAAGGAAAGCAGAACTGTCTGAATCGGGTATGGCTCTCACTTTTCAACACGGGTTTTGGGTGGGGTTTTTAGTCAGAGATGCAGGTCAATAAAAGGCAGTGGTAAAGTGCTGAACCTCCTTGATAGACTGGCACTGAAAGCAGGAGTTTTCAGAAGTGTAAAGATCACTCATACTGCCTCAAGCATTCCTATCCAAGCTTTCTTGGAAAAAAGCTCAGCCAAAGTGTATTCCAGCTTCAATGTTATCTGAAGATTTAAAAAACAAACAAACAAAACAAAACAACCAAGAAACCCCATGCTTGATCATCTACTCTAATACGACTTTGCTTCTGCCTGAATAAGGCGAATTTAGATCTTTGGTTTAAATATTCTGTCCATGTATGTACCTTTTCAGAAGAAGATAAAGGAGGTAAAATGGCTGCAGCAGACTCTGTTCAACAGAGGCGTCAGTACAGACGGCAAAATCAACAGTCTTCATCTGGTATGGGTGCCACAGATTTCCTAAAACTGGATTGTAGTTTACTGTCACAGGAAGTAGTTAATGTTAAGTTCAAATACTGATTAAAATTATTTGCTACGTATACTACAGTGCTATTGTGAACTTCATTATGAGTGGTAGATCTATAATTAAGTCACTTTAATTATTGCTCATGAAGAATAAAGTATCACTTTTAAAGGTTATGATACATCTCTTGTTAAGGGGTTGACATCTTTAGAAGTTGAACTTGTAAACTCGTAACATCACACACAAATATTGTTTGCTATGCATTACCTAAATGTGGTGTTGCAATAGGTTATTTCCTAATATTTTGGACTCTTGTATGCTTGAGATCAGTAAATTAACCTGGGTCTGGTATAGGGTTTTTTCCTCTTAATGTATTTATAAGTAACTGCAGTTCACTTTTTAAATTACCTGTCAGATTTTTGTGCACAGTTAGGTTGCTGCAAATATTTTTACCCAGCTCTGATGGATTTATTTATCACTTGAATTTTAACTAACGTTTTTAGTTGAACTGCTGTTAAATAGAGACTTCTTATTTTGTGGGAGAGGAGGATAGCAGTTTAAACTGCAGTATAACCCTATCGGGAACTGTGTTAACAGCATCATAAGAATAATTTTCCAGAGAGTGATTCTTCTACATTTATAGATTCTGGTTCTTCGTCATCATCTGAAGAGGAAAGACCTAAAAGATCCAATGTGAAGAACGGGGAAGTTGGTAGACGCCGACGCCACTCGCACTCACGCAGTCCATCACCATCTCCACGAAAAAGACAGAAGGAATCCTCCCCTCGGTAATTTCTTCTTAAGTTGAACATAACTGACATCTTTTTTTTTTTTTCTAACTAGTTCATGTTGTTTGTTTGCTATGCAACTGTCAGCAAATACACAACAGAATTGTCATGTCCAGTTTGCCCAATCTTGTTTCAAGATTGCATGCTCGTTATGCTCATTTGGTAAGAGTTACCCTGAACTTTATTTGAATATGTTCATTTTTGCCTCAAATACATGGCAGATAGATCTGTTTTGTTTTGTTTTTCCTCCACTGCTCTCAGGATGCAGATGGAAAAGAGGTGGCAATCGCCAGTGATGAAAAGGTTGGTTAGAAATTAATCTGTTAAGTAGGATTTACATCTAAAAAAATCGTTCAGGCTCTCATTTATTTTGTCATAAATAAATACTTGCCATCCTTTGGAATTGCAAACTTAAAAGTGAGGGGAATTCAGACTGATGTGTTCCTTAATGTGATGGATCTGGGACCATTTCACTGGCAAAAAAAAAAAAAAGAAACACCTGCTCTCTCTCCTTCACTGCTATTAATTCATGTAAACCTGCAACAGCTAATAACATTAATATTATTAGCATCTCACTGATGCCTGAAAGTAGCTGAATGCTTGTATTCTTCGGGGCGTTCCTTAATTCCTTATGCACTGATTGGAAAGGTGGGCGAGCGTTGCTGTGTATTCTTGCTGCTGTTGACATTCTGGCTAAAACCCTCCCGTATGCTCCAATAAGGGATTAAGATCTTGATGTTCTGGGTCACTGATAATTGGAATTTTTAGAGGTGTCATTCCTCAGTTCATTAGATATTTGAAACTACTACTAGTAGACTAGTAGTGAACACCTACTTATTTTCTCTTGTGCAGGCAGTATCGTTAACACTTGTGAAATTGTTTGCTCTGTGTCGATCTCAGAATATAGGAGGGTGCAGGAAGCTGGGTGCTTGATGGCTTCATTAATCTGATGTAATGACCCTTGTGATCAATCTGTAATTAAGAGCTAGAGCATAGTTGCAGCATACGTAATAATGTATGAGATTAAGTATGACTATACAAATGTAGACCATTCTAATTATGGATCTTGTCAAACAATTTTATGCAAAACAGATTAGAATTCAAAGATCTTTATCTGTTTTGCAACAGACTAAATTAATCTACTGCCTATTGTGTAAATACACATTTAATTAGGCAACCATGGCATTTGAAAGCTGGCATTGTTACAGATCATAAAACAATGTTGTCTTTTGGAACAAACTCTTACCAATAAAACGTGTAACCCATTGGCTTGGAGAACAACAGCCAACGTATTTGAAATCAAATCTCAGTTTATGTAGATGACCTGCTTTGCTTTTTTATTACTGTCATTTTTTCTTCTATCCAGTCATTTCATCTGAATTGCTTTACCAAAAAATAGGAGTGTTTTACCTCACAAAACACCAATCTTCCTCTCATTTAAAACTCGAGGAAGGTATGTGATTAAAATTGCCCCTCTCAGAAGTCTGTTGTAAACCTTGAAGAGCAGAAAATAGCTTGGTTTCTGTATAATTTTAATCCAGATAGCTGCAGTTTAGCAACAGCTGTGATTTTTCTCTCTATTTCAAGAAATAAGTCATTTTGGATTTCAGATTATAACTAAAAGCTGTGTTGAGGGGTACAGTTTCACACTGCTTAACCTGATCCAGGCCAGAGTGCTGCTGACCGCAGTTCTGGTCCTCCTGGCAGAGCTCAACGTTCCCAGTTCCTTGCCTTGGATCTAGCAATCGTGTCACTGCGTGATGACTGGGAGGTGGTTTTGTTGGATTAGTCTCCTGGTGGGTCAGTAACCTGGTCTGGCTCATTAGGTGATCACTAAGTTCAGTGCAAGGGACATGGAGGAAATGAGCTCTCGGGAGAAGAAAGTGGGAGAGAGTTGAGCTTCCTGTTTGGCTACAAGATGTGAATAGAGCAGGTTAAGCAGAATGTGAGATTGTCTCGTGACTGCTGTGGTGGGCTCTGGGGATTACAGTAAAATGATGAGTTGTCTCACTCGTGTTGTCTCACTCTTTAGGAAGACGAGTATTTTTTTCCCATTTTGAAATGCATGAACAAAATGATTTTTTGTGGTGACAGCAGAACAACAAAAAAAACCCCTCATGGCTCAATTGCAACTTTTCTGAGACATCCCTTTATCTCTTTAGTAGGAGGAGGAGAAGTCCATCGCCCCCCCCAGCGAGGCGGCGGCGCTCTCCTTCGCCTGCCCCTCCTCCCAGGCGGCGGCGGTCACCTTCCTTACCTCGGCGAAGGTAGGCTAGTGTATTTTTTGTATGAAGTGGTTGCTTTTGGTTTGTTGACTTCCAACTACGACATGTAAAAAGAAACACCTTGATACCAGTTCCTTGATTCACAGCTTACTGAGGGGAGTGCGGTTTTGCTCGTGAGATTTTGGTGTGGTGGGTGTGTGGCCCCAGTATCATTTGATTGCTGTGTCAAATACTGAATAACACCCATTCAGCTGATGGTCACTTTGGTGTTAAATGAAGTTTTAAAGCATTTTTAGAGGAGTTTTTTCCCTCCTTTGGGTGAATTGCAGGACACTTGTGACTGTTTTCTTTGTAGGTCTCCATCACCACCCCCGCGCAGACGCTCCCCTTCTCCACGGAGATACTCTCCGCCGATCCAGAGACGATATTCTCCTTCCCCACCACCGAAGAGAAGAACAGCTTCTCCTCCTCCCCCACCTAAACGAAGGGCATCCCCTTCTCCGCAGTCGAAGCGCAGAGTCTCCCACTCACCACCTCCAAAACAAAGGAGCTCGCCCACCGCCAAAAGGCGTTCGCCTTCGATATCTTCCAAGCACCGGAAGGGATCTCCTCCCAGTAGGTCCAATCGGGAAACACGTTCACCACCACAAAACAAAAGGCATTCACCTTCACCACGGCCTAGAGCTTCTCATACCTCTGCAAGCCCACCACCACCACGAAGGGGAGCTTCAGCTTCACCCCAGCGAAGACAGTCTCCGTCTCCAAGCACTAGACCCATCAGGAGGGTGTCGAGAACGCCAGAACCTAAGAAGACAAAGTAAAAAAATCCATCTTTGTTGGTGGGGGTTTTGTGAGGGGGATTTTGTTTCGTTTTACTGCAGTGGGTACAGGTAGGGAATCACATTAGAATGATTCTCGATTCTTGAGACTGCTCAAGTGTTGGTGGCTCTGTTTGGCTGCCGCCATCACAACATTGATTTTCAGAAGTTTATTAGATTGGAGGAATCTGTTAAAGTGCAACGCAGGGAGAAGCTTTAAAGAGGCTTTATGTAGAGTTTGTGGTGGGGTCTTATAAGAGCACAACAAAGCACTGGGACTGAGCAGGTGAAAAGAACTTTGAGAGAAGTTTTTTTACTACCTTTGTTTAAAGAAAAATCAGCTTTTATTTTAAAGCTAACTGTGGAGGGGAACCAACACTTTGCATTAGCTCATGAATCATTTCATAAGTGGTTATCCAAGATAAACTGCTAAAATTCCAAAGGTTTGGGTTTTTTTTAGTGCGATGCTGCTTTTCTGAGCAGTTAGTTAAAAGTACTGTGCTGGCTTGTTAATTTTTTCAGAAGGAAACTATAGCTGAGTGTAATGTCTTGCACTCTTTCTTCATTGGATAATAACACAGCATTGCTATTCTCTTGCCTTTTAATGTGTTTATAAATTAGTCATATCAGAAGAAAGGGAGCAATCCTTTCTGACCAACAGTAGCAGTATTGTTTAACAAGCTATCACGTTGCAATATCCTTTTGCATTACGGATCCACTGGCGGTATTAGATTGTTTTGCCTGTTGTAACATACGCCAGCAAAGTAACTAATCATTTTTTAAGTGGCAGCTGAAACAAGTTACAGCATATCTGTTCATCTGGCTTTTTTGTTAGTTTTTACTCTGTTGTTTTGACTCACTGTGGCTCTTCTGTTTTTCAGGGCTTCCACACCAAGTCCACGATCTGCAAGACGGGTGTCTTCATCACGGTCTGCATCAGGATCACCCGAGCCAGCACCGAAAAAACACCAAGGACCTCCCTCTCCCACTCGGTCTCGTTCTCCTTCTGCAAACTGGTCACCTGCAAAAAAGGCTAAAAGCCCAACTCAGAGCCCGTCACCTGCAAGGGTACTTGTTTGCTAGTAAAAACAATCCTACTTTGGGTTAGATGGCAAGTTATTTTCATTAAGTGTTAGCTGCTGAAAAGCTCTAAGCTTATTCACATGGGGAAAAATAAAAATCTTGGTAGTGATTTTTCACAGTTAAAAACTTCATAACGAATTTTTCACACTTAATATCTCTGAGTCTGAAAAAAAAAAAGTGCTAGTATATATAAATTTTAGCTTCTGGAAGAAGAAAAGACTTTCCCAGTTCATGAGTCTACAAAGTGAGGTGATCTCATTTATGCTTAGCAGTCTCACATGCAAACTCAGGCTGTTCCTAATGGGAAGAGAAGAGATTGTTTGGTGTCCTTATCTGTACTCCGAAGGTGTTTCCTAGGGACACTGCCACTCTTGGCCAGAGGAGTGTTTACGGAGTTAGGCTCCACCTGCAGCATTAATTTTAATGAAGAGGTTTGTGTGTCGCTGCTGTGACCAGCTTGGCGAGTTTGCGTGGTGGTGTGTTCTGTTCCGTTCTCAACAGGCCCAGCACAGCCAGGCGTTACAGTATCCGTCTTCCAGGATTACTTCTGTCAGTTGATGGGAATGTGATTTTCCCCCAGTTCTGACAGTGTTTGCTGAATTTCACATGTGGCTCGGTCCATTCAGATTGCCCAGGGTGGTTGTGGGTTTGTTTTTTAACATTTTGAAGCCTTAGGAATGAGCTGTAATATCTTTTGCATTTTTTGTTACAGAATTCAGATCAAGAAGGGGGTGGAAAGAAGAAGAAGAAAAAGAAGGATAAGAAGCATAAAAAGGATAAAAAGCACAAGAAACACAAAAAACATAAGAAGGAGAAGGCTGCGGCGGCTGCAGCAGCTGCTGCTGTGGCTGCAGCAGATACCACCTCAGCACAGGAAGACCAGGAAGCAGAGACAGAACCCAAGAAGGTAGGAATCTGGTACCTGGGCTTCACTTTTTAAAGAGTCCAATATAAGAACTTACAAATACACGTATATACATATACTCGGGATGCTCTAAACAGTTTCCTGAAATGCAGCTGAGTGCGTCGTCATTTTTACCTGATGCTTTGCAGTACTGGGAGGGCTGCGGCCTGCCTCAGCGTTCCGTGTTTGAAGAAATGCTTTCTCTTTCTTTGAAGGAGACAGAAAGTGAACCCGAAGACAACCTTGATGATCTAGAAAAGCACCTGCGAGAGAAGGCACTGAGGTCGATGAGGAAGGCGCAAGTGTCACCACCATCCTAGGCTGAATCCTTTGATATAATGTACATTTTATTTGGTTTGTACTCAGAATTCAATTTCAAATTGCTAAATGTGTTTGAGCTTTAGAATATAACATTTGTTGTAATAATTGCTAGGTTGAGGTTCACCATGTACAAAGGGCATGGATTTACATTACAAAAGGTGTCCACAGTGTACTAGTGACATTCTTTCATTGACAGTCAACATAATTTCATTTAGAGCGAGACTTTTTAGAAGCAGTAGGAATTTGTTTTGAAGGTTTTAAACATGACCGTCAATTCCCTAGTTTCTTTGAAATTCAACAAAGACTTTAGCATAATTTGTGAGGGTCTCATTTGACTTCTTTTGTATCCTCTTACATTATGCTACTAACCTTTGTGGTTTGTAAGCTTGCCCAGAAGTAAAACCACTGCAGAATTACTGAGGAAGTACATATATTTTAATGCTTTCTACTGTTGCCTGTATAGTCTCCATTAAAGCGAATCGAGAGTAGCAGTTTAGAATGGTACATAAATGAAAGCATGTTGTTTACCAGGACACTGTGGGTTTATATTGATGTAACATGTTGATTTGGAACACTGGAATTTCATTTGTATTTTTATGTTCTTTTTTTAAAGGGCAGTTTCCATGATCAGCAGTCCCAGAAAAAGAAAAAAAAAAAAAAAATTCCTTCAGTTACATAAATTTTGTTTGTGAGATGTCGTTGCCCCATTCATAAATCTTGTCTCGTTACGGTTCTTCTGAATGGTATAAGCAACTTTCAGAGATGTGGTCTTTGAAAGTTTGAGGAACCTGAACTTTGGATATTGTCATGTTTTCACTGTTTTTTGTTTTTGTTTTTTTAACTAAAGCTATATAAAGCTTGTGGATTAAACAAAATAAATTTCTAAATTTAAACAGATGTTGGCTATTTTTGTATGAACATTTACATTTGCTAATCAGCTTTCTTTTGTACAGGGTTAATGAATACACAGATACAAAATGTATTTGGTCCAGTAGGCTGGCTTCTGAAAAATTGGGGCTTTTGTTTTTAACTGTCCTGGGGTAGCAAAAATAGCCCTTTGTTAACTCAGTGATGCTCCTGTTGTGTCTGGGTCGGTGTTCTTGCAAAGCAAGAGTAAAACAGTCTACCTGGTCAGCACTCTGTCAGGATGGATCAGCTTAAAACAAACACACACAACATTTGCTGGTGAAAATTGCTTGTCTTAGCAAGTAAAACGTTTCGAGGTCCTGAAAAAAAAAAAAAAAAACCCAAACAAAAAAGAATGGCAGGTTTGCATTAACTTAGTTACAAGCTTTAGTCATGGAAACACTGGTTGGAATGCTCAGCTAAAGAATCCTGGTGGCTCGCTGCCTTTTTCATGATCATATTTGAAACTTGCTGGATTGCTGCTGTTGAATTTTTTTTTTAAAAAAATCAAGCGCTGTTTCTGAAATCAAGTCAATTCTGAAGTCTGAGGTTCCTCTGGAAGGAGGAATAGAACATGCTTTTGAAAATTTTTGTCCTGCATCTGAAGTAGATGTGATGTGCACAATTAAGTGTAGATATTCGATTAGTCTTTTGACTTGACATCGTGTAGGGGTTTTAAAATAAAACAGGTATTATGTAGATACTGGATGGAAGGGGATATCTTTAAAGTAGCTTCCTCCTGCACTTCCTTATATGCTGAATCTTTTGTTAGCATAAGTATACATTGTATGCTAAAGTGCTTGTAAACTTAGTTCAACAACACTTGAATGTTGAGTATCATCTGTTATTAAATGTGTATAATAAATTCCAAGAACTTTCTGGACAAACACCTTTTATAAAGTACATCTGAGTGAATTTGGTGCTTATGGAACTGTAGAACCTAACGACATATTGCGCTAATCTCTTTGCCATGTTATTTTTTTTTTCTTTTCCTGTGATATTCCTCGGCAACACAAATGATTCTGAAATTCAATCTTTACAAGCCTGTACGTGTGCAGTCTTCACTCGGGGGTTACTGCCTCGGTCTTTATAATCTGAATCTTGCTTTCATCTGGGTTTTCTGACCTCTGCGTGCCTTTTAATCTTAGGACTAATAGAAGTTCTTTAAATACATTCAGTACCTGAGTCACTGACTGCTTATCTTCCCTCATACCTGTTTTTCATCTCCTGCCTCCAGGACTGTGCTTTGATAAAGGACTGCACCGTGGATTGTGGGCAGGGAGGAAGGCCAGACCTTCCCAAAACTCTCAGGTCTTACCCCATCTTTTTTTTTTTTTTTTTTTTTTTTTTTAACATCTATCGATAAAGCATGGTTTAACTTTCAAAGGAGCAATTAAATACTCGCTTTCAGAAGATCATTAGTATTCTAATTCCTTCTGACTTAGCCATTCTTTCAGACACTAACATGGCCTCTGGACCAGTGCAGTGACAGCCAGCTGCCTCTCACCTTCCCGGGAGCCCCTGGCTGCCCTTGCAGAGCTGCTCCGAGCCCCCGTCCCTCCGCCGCGCCGCGACCTTCAGCGCTCGTGTCTGCACTGAAACTCTGGCCTGGTGTTGACTCACATCAGTGAATTCCTGTCCTGATCCTCCGTAACTGAGCTCCTGTCATCCAAACCCAAACTTGTCTGAGCTGTTCACCACTCGATCTTCTCGGTTAACCTCCTCTCTCTGTGTTCTCAACCCTGTTATTTGTAGCTGAGCTGCTGGAGTGGGGACGGTAACCGCGTAGGACGCTTTGTGCAACCTGGGGTGCGTGAATCGCGCTCGTGCTTCTTGTTCTGGATCTGCTCGTGCTCTGTGTTTGCTGTTAATCAAGGCTCCCTTCCTGAACTGACAGGTACCTGGGCTTAGATAAGTGACTTGCTGGAATAACTCTATCTACGCAAAAAGAAATTTAATAAATTCAAATTTAATTGGGCTCTATAATTTAGATGAAAATGAGCCCACGGGAGTGAACGTAAGGACAAAGTGAGTCACTGGCAGGTCGATATCTGTAGTTCCTAATAAAGAAAGATGTGTTTGTTGTGTCAACAGGTGGGACAATAGCAGGTGTGTGTGCAGTAGTTTGAAGTTTATAGAAACTCTGTGTTGGGATTATTAAATTTTTCCACTTGTGTGACTTTGGAAATTTGCACAGGGAGTTCTGTGGACCAGCTTCCTGAGCTTCACCACCATCGTTTTACACCCTGAAACTAATTTATGAATTATTTGCCTTAATGTTCAGGACAAAGACTCTTCTGCTGGTTTAGAGAATGTCTAGAAGTCCCCGAACGCTGACGCGATGTGACGGCTAACGCACAGCACCAAGGCAGAGCCCGGGGCGCAGAGCCCTGACTAAAGCTTCGACCGTTGCAGCTCACACGTGCTCAGCTCTGCGTTGTCTGACACAAATCGATCGAAGCAGAGGCCCAGACCTGGAGGACTGGCTCGTGCAGGCGATGGGAGGTGGCTTAACTTGGAGGAGCAGCTTAAACATCACCTGCATTTTCTTAATTTTTAACTTCCTTTCTCAAACATCGAATCTACTGCTGGGTGTGTGTTGGTATAACGAGGGCTGTTGGAAGAGCAGGGCCTTGAACTGTATTTTGATTGATTTTTCATTTCAGCTGTGTGTGATAATTTATGTTTCAGTATAGGATCATCAGCTCATAAAACCTTGAATCCTCTGCTTAAAGCCTGTTGCTGCACGTCCCGTAAGCGCCCAGCCGGGCGGTCACAGCGCTGACAGGACTGGATTCACTTCTCAGCCAGAGTCCCAAACCCTGGGAGAGACTGTGCTGGCGAGGGAGAGCTGCTGCTCCCTAGGGCGCTGTCTTCCATGTGGCATCCCAGCGTCCTTCACTTGGCTGAATAGCAACTTGGTGTCACTCTTGTACAATATTTTTTCTTCCCCTGTCGTATTCACAGACCTTGCCGGTGGAACTGTTTGTCTCTCTTGCTCAGGTCTCAGTCACTGTAATAAGTTACTGTAGAAGTGGTGTATCTCTTTAAGGATAAGAAAAAGATTATGAAATCTGAGCACAATGGCATAGGTAGTTGTCTTTCCAGACTCAAATCAACAGTTTAACTTTTGAACTTTACTTCAGCTCTCCTAGAAGGAGTTCAGAGAGACGAGTCCATTCACGACGGCGCGAAGCAGGAGGATGAAGCTCGTTCCCCACCCTGCTGGTGGGCCGTAGGTGATGTCCTGTAACAGTGACTCTTCCAGTGTTTTCTGTCACAGAAATCCATCAGCTGCCTAAAGTACAACAAAAACATTGCCTCCCTCCTGCTGTATTACCCTCTCGAATGCTTAACATACATAAACTGTTTATCTTGTAGCCCTGTCTTTGTTTCAGGCCGGGCTCTGGTTGAGAGCAGCGGATTGCTTTACGTTTTCTCTTGCTCAGGTTTAGTTCTGACTCGACTCAGTCCCGTTCCCTCCCCGTCAGAGCGAGCTGACATCCATCACGCCTCGCAGATCTTGTGGCCCACTTGTGATAATTTCTGTTTGCTTCCTTGGTTGCCTGGCAGCAATCAGCATGCAAATACGTGGGCAGGTGGTTTATATACCCCATCCTGCGTGTGGATTAAGCCTTGGGAAGATGGCTGGGCAGAGTGGGATTTCATTTAATTGAATTTAAAGTCTTAGAAGCAACCGGTCCACAGCTAGAGGTGCTCTGTTGTTCAGAGGGGTGGCCCTCGGTTATCTCCCGTGGATTTATCATGAACATGTTGGGCTGTTTGCAGGGGTGGGTGAAGGGAGCCACCACACACAGGGAGTTCTGTCGGACGCTCTGTGTGCCCTAGAGACTAAGCAGCTGAAGATGCTTCCAAGGAGGTGGATTCAGCTTGGGAAATCCATGTGTTTTTACCTTGAGAGGGAAGTATTTTGAGGGTTTTGCCTCAAATGCAAGCTGCGGTTATTGCCGGGCTGGTGCCTTTTGGGATCCCCTTGAAGAGGCAGAGAGGAGCTGCGCCCCCCCGGCCGCACTCTGCCGGGCCTGGATGCACTTGCAAGCGCCTCTCACCAGGTGGGGCTGGGAGCAGGGCAGGGCTGCGCGGCGGGACGGGCCACCTGGATTCTGCCACCTAAATAGAAATTAAACACGTTTCAAGAAGAATCACTGTTTAAAATTCTATCTGTTCAAGTCTAATTTATAGTTACCTATTAAAAAGTTCAGTAACTTTGAGAAAAGGGCACTAGAAGATGGGCATGAAACCTCGTTTTGAGTCTCTGACCCAAACATCCAAAGATTTGGGTGTTGGATGAGAGAAAAACATTGTTAGCGTTGTAAAACAGTCTTTAAGAAGCAGCGGTTCTTCACTGAGAAAAGTTTAATTTCTTCGCAGTGTGAAAAGGGAATAGTGCTGGACTCACTTGCCCTGTTCGCTAAAGCATCAGCTCTTGATGACCGCTAACGAAGAACAGATGCGTGGCGAAGCGCAGTAAACGTGTTTTTCAAAGAAAAATATAGAAAATAAACTAAACTTTACCAAAACTGTTTCAAACGCTGCATGCGCTGAAGGAAGAAGCATGCTTTCTGCTGTCTCAAACTTGGAAAGAGCCTCAAGAAAGTTAAAAATGTAAAATTCCTCAGACTGATTCAATTCCAGGCAGCGAAGAAGCAGCCAGACTGAGCTTGTCCCCAAACCTACCAAAGTAGCCTGGGAACTGCTCAGCTTTCGAAGAGGCAAAGGGCTGTTAAAATCATCAGCTGTTGCAAAACAGCCAACAAAAAATATTCTCATGTTTCTTGTGTTTTAATTAACTTTCACCTAAAGGTCATTTGGCAAAATGAGTAAAAATTGTGGTAGTCAAAAAAAAAAACCCAAACCCCAAAGAAAAGGATGTATTTAACAAAATCTGAGTGCATATATGTTAACTGTGTGGCAACAGTTTAAGAGTGTACAGGGGAGGTGTATCAAGTTCACAAAAATTAGCCTCAAATCTGGAGTCAAGAGATTGTAGAAGGGTAAATCACACTCTTGAAGGTTCTACCAATTGCCTTAAGAAAAATGAGACTACAAACGCAAAATAGGATAGAACTGACTAGTTGAAAAGATGCTCCCTGTCTGCTAATTTAAGCAAGGATTAGTGATTTAAATTAATTCAAGCAGGCTAATAAGAACCATTGGTTCCACCCCACCCCCCCCTTTCTGGAGCAAGATAAAGCCACGAGCTCTCGGCCTCCTGCTAGAACTGAGCCTGGTGTCTTCACGGCTGCTGCTGCTGGGGGGGACACAGCGGATGATGGAGAGGGTAATTTCTGCATCTGGACTAGCAAAGCCAGCCCTGGCCCGGCGCAGGGTGGGTCAGTTAATTGGATTTTGTATCTTCTCTGCAGGCGGTTTTGCCTGTATTTCACCAGTCGGGCTGAACTGCAAGCTGTTGCCTGAGGGAGAAGGATCACAACCAGTTTGTCATGGAGCTAAAAGTACTACTGGAAAGGAGGTT